TCTTGTTGGTTGGTTGGTCTTGGGTGGTTTTTTGTTTGTTTCTGTTTGATTTGGTTTCATTTTGGGTTTGAGACTAGGTCTCACTATGTAGACTATGTAGCCCTGGCTGTCCTAGAACTCACTATATAGACCAGGCTAGCCTTGGACTTCCAGGTGCTGGGATTAAAGGAATGCACCACCATGGCCAATTAGCCCACTTTCTTGTCTTTGAAAATTTCTATAGCATAATGTTTTCTTTTAAAGGGAGGCATGACAGTTCACAAGTATAATCCCAGCACTTGGGATACTGAAGTTGAGGCCGAATGACTTCCACAAGTTCAAAACTAACCTGGGTGATACTAAGTTTGAGACCCTCTAGGGTTACCTAGAAAGACAGGTAAATAATAAGTAATATAATTTAAAATATCTCTAGCTGGTTGTTGTTAGTGGTGGTGCACACCTTTAATCCCAGTACTTGAGAGGCAAAGGCAGACGGATCTCGGATCTCTGAGTTCAAGGTCAGCCTAATCTACAGAGTGAGTTCAAGAACAGCCAGGGCTATACAAAGAAACCCTGTCTCAAAAAAAAAAAAAAAAAAAAAAAAAACCTCTTCAAATGAAATGTATGCAAACTATGTTCTTGACTTACTGCCAGGTTGGTTTCTATTTTGTATAGCCTAAGGCCAGAGATGTACAGAATTATCTGCCTGTTGGTCCTGGCATGTTGTTCCTCATATGTAAAAACACTTCCTTGTACTGCAAGGGAGCACATAGTTTGCATTATACTCGTCAGAGCTATTTTCATCTAGAAATGCTATCTATGTGTCCCCTTGCCAACATCTTTGCAGAGTTCACAGCATCGAGCAATTTATTGGCATCAGGACACGCTGCCATGAAGCAGCTGCTCAGCAGTTGAGCTGTGCTAACATGCCGCCCCTCTGTGTGAATCCTGAGAAGTAAGTGACCAAGATGTGTGCTTTGGGATTCAAGAGAGTGATTTCTCGTAGAGATTGTACCGTAATATCGCCATCATCAGAAACGTCATAAGTAGGTCTTTGGCTTTCACTCTGCCCTTCTAGATGCTATGCTACAGTGAGAGAGAGTGTCTGCACGTGCGAGAGAAGGGTGGGGCGGGGCTCCAAAGGTAGTTCAGGCTGGCCTGGAACTCTCCTCCTCCTTCCTCTGCCTCTTGAGTGCTTGGGATTGCTCCCATACCAAGATCATGAGATTAGATTTTTCGTTTTATTTTATCTTTGGTTTAGCCTTAGTTTTATTTGTGTAATCAAATAGTTCTTCATTAGTTAATTTAGTGACTGATTTATTCCTTTTCATAATGATAACCATTTTATGTGTTTACATACCAGAAAAGTAGGATTTGCATTTTGGAAAAGACTTTCTAAATTAATCGTCAGTCAAGGATAAGCTAGAGTTAGACAGAATGAAGTGACACTAAGTCTTTGGGAAGAATTGTGCCTTCTTCATGATGGTCCTAGAGTGAGACCTGCTAGAAAGGTCATCAAAGCTACGTGAATGGGGATAGATATATTCAACTGTCTTTTACAAGTGAACTGTGTCATTCAGATGAACCATGTCATCCTGGCAAATAGCCCCTAACAGCAGAAAGAAACTAAAATTAGAAACTAGAAGAAAAGTAATAGCACAAAGTAAAAACTTCATAACTGACATTAACTACCTTCCTCATTTAAGGGAGTGGTGAGTACCTGGAACAGAAAAGAGCATGCAACTATTAAAATTAATTTCTTCAGAAAGATTTTAGAAATTTTTTTTTTTTTAGGTTTTCGAGACAGGGTTTCTCTATATTGTTTTGGAGCCTGTCCTGGAACTTGCTCTGTAGACCAAGCTGGCCTTGAACTCACAGATATCTGCCTGCCTCTGCCTCCCGAGTTCTGGGATTAAAGGTGTGTGCCACCAATGCCCGGCTTAGAAAGTAATCTTTCATAACATAGTAAACAGCAAAACATTGTGAAGTTTTCCAAAAATGCTAACACCAAGTCCTGAAGTTCGACTAGCTCACTTGTAATCTCTCCACTGGGGGGGCGCAGAAGCATCTCCGGTTCCAAGATGACCTACCTACAAAGTCTCGAAATAAAATATCCAGAGATGGGAAATTATCTTAAGTAGAAATAACATTAGAAACATACAGGACACACGAAGGAGTTCTGTTAGACAGAATGACAGAAAACTCCAGAAGGAAATAACTTATTTTCAAGGAAAACAAATGGGCTGCCTCAGAGTCCTCCCAATTTTGGTTTATAAGACACAGAACTTATACTGTCAAAGCAAAGTACTCTGTCCTCATAACACTGCGAAAATTAATGAAGTAAGCAGGGCGGGGTGATAGAAGCATCAAGGAGGCAGAGACAGGAGGATCAAGAATTCCATACCAGTCTGGTGTGCACAGTGACTCCACGTCCAGCCTGAACTATATAATAGAACAAGGCTTGAGAAGGCTAGAAGAGGGGTGGAGTAGGGGGTTAATAAAGTGTTTACTGTCAGTAATAGAAAAGGAAATGGTTTCCAGAATTAATAAAACTGCCAGACGTTAGTGGCACATGCCTTTAATCTCAACATTTGGGAGGCAGAGGCAGGTGGATCTCTGTGAGTTCGAGGCCAGCCCAGTCTACAGAGTGAGTTCCAGGACAGGCTCCAAAGCCATAAAGAAACCCTGTCTCGAAAAACCTAAAAAAAAAAAAAAAAAAAACTGGGTTGATGGAATGGTTCAGTGGGCTAAGACACCTGCCGCTAAACGCTGGAGACTTGGGTTTGATCCCTGAAGTCCACATGGTACAGAGAGCTAACTTCTAAATGTTTTCCTCCAACTGAGGCATACACACATTGGCTCGCACATGCACGCACAGGCACACATATAATCCTAACATTTGGAAAGCTAAGGTAAAAGGATCCTGAGGCCAGTCGGTTATGTAAAATATTCTGGTAGCCTGGACCACACAGTAAAACCCTGCTTCAAGAAAAGAAAAAAAAATCTGAAAGAACAGCATAATTAAGAACCTTGGATAATCTTAGGTACTAGAGAAAAAAGAAAAAGCAGCCAGGCACTGTGGCATATACTTTTAGTCCCAGCATTTATGAGACAGAAGCAGGAGGATCAGAAGTTCAAGGCCAGACTTGGTTTCACAGCTGAAAAAGTCAGTGGTTGCTTTCTTTACCACAAATTAAATAACACAGTCTTGGAAGCCAAATGAGTCTTATATAGACCCAAATAACTGGCTGTATTCGTGCACACTCCTGTGCATTGGGCAAGACATTGGTGGCACTGCAGAATGGAGAAAGGATTCTATCACTACAGGTGCCAGCTCCTACCCTGGCCCTGGAGTCTATAAGGCGGCATGGCTCAAACTCCACCATCTGTTCTAAAATATCTACTCCAGCTAGGTGGTTCTAAATAGAACTAATGACAGCCAGAAAAGAGAGGCCTGTAGGGACTTGCTCTGACACGGAGCTGACATCTATAAACAGATCAGTAGCAGGGAGCAGGGCATCCTTCTGTGGCCCTAAGTTTTGTATGTTGGCATGAAGATAAAATAATAGGAAAGAATTACCCAGTACAGAGCCCACCGTAGTTCTACAGATAAATGAAGTAGCACACCACCTCCCCGCGTGTTTGCATCTGATGTATCAGTTTAGTAAGTAATCTAAGTACCCACTAATGGAGAGCCAGAAGTTTGTCTGGGAGGAAAAATAACAGGCTTGAGAAGATACGGTTGCAAATTTTACTCTGAATTCTTCAAAAACATCAGCAGAGTTAATGTTGCATTCAAAAGGCAAAAATCCAGGTGTCAATACTGTGAAGGCAGAAGGGGCCATCCTGGGCTACAAAGTAAATGCCAATCCAGCCATGACTACATAGTATAGTTCAATCTCAAATTAAGTAAGGAAATAAATATTTTGAAAAGGCAACTGGACAGGATGGGGTATAGCTCAGTGGTAAAGTACTTGGGTGGCATGCACAAGGCCCTGGACTCAGTCCCCAGGACTGGAAAAATTAAAAATGGCAACTCAAGCCAGCTCCATTTACCGTTTGTGAACGGCTACAGAAATACTACAGCTAGCGAAATGCTGAAGCTATATTAAACTTACTGTTTGAAGTAAGCCACGGTTAGTAGTCGCTGAAAATGATTCTGTGTTCTGTTTCTCTACCTTCTTCCTTTTAGACTTCATAAGGCAATGGGATGGTTTAAGAGGAAGGAAAAGCTTACCAGGCTAAGATTCCCTGCCGTGTACAAGGCCTGGGTTTGATTTCCAGCAATTGAATAATAATAGTTACTAACACTCTACTCAACAAATATGCACAGAGAATTGCAGTAGAACTCCAGATACATTCTGCACCCATTGTGTCACAGTCTATAGGTATGACACACACACATCATGGGCTGTTTTTTGAAGTACCGTGTGACTCCAATATGCAGAAAAACTGGCAACCACAGCCTATAAAAAGTCTGTTGTAATGCTAAAAGTAATGTCATATTTAATATTTTAAGAGTCATGTGTGTGATTGTTGTACATAAATATTTTGTTTTCTCAACTTCCCTCATACAAGTAGTATAACTATTCAAATATTTCATCTACTTAAAATAAATGCTTAAAAAAAATGCCGGGAGCCGGGCGTTGGTGGAGCACGCCTTTAATCCCAGCACTTGGGAGGCCGAGGCAGGTGGATCTCTGTGAGTTCGAGACCAGCCTGGTCTACCAAGCGAGTTCCAGGACAGCCTCCGAGATAATACAGAGAAACCCTGTCTCGAAAAACCTAAATAAATAAATAAATAAATGCCAGGTATTGGTGGTACATGCCTTTAATCCCAGCACTCAGGAGGCAGAGGCAGGTGGATCTCTGTGAGTTCGAGCGAGTTCCAGGACAACCTCCAAAGCAATACAGAGAAACCCTGTCTCAGAAAAAATGAAAATAAATAAATAAAGGTTTTAGTGTTGACCATTATTAGTCTGTTTGCCAAAAACTTTTTTCTTGCTTTCATATATCAACAGGAGTTTGCAGCCATGAAACAGATTATCATTAATATGTGTAGCAAACATCCTGAGAACAACCTACTCCTCTCTAGAATGGAGTCAAAAGGGGTGACAGAAAATCAAGCATCAAAGATTTTGAACATGCCAAGAGAACATGAAGACAATATATTTATACCCAAGCCAACACTGTTTGTAAGTACAGCTAAATATTTAGAATTTTAAACTCTAGTTCTCACTAATATATTTTCTTCTCATTCATATTTGTTTTAAATCAATTTGGATAGTGCTGGACAAAGGTCTTGCATGTTTATATTAATCCCTTTCCTAAAGGTGTGCATTAGATGACTATTGGATTTTATGTTTCTAATTAGCATATTGAACTTGCCTAGAAATGATCCTAAATCTACAGCCCATAAGGGGCTTAGAGGACAACTTTGGGTCTCTTGGTTGCCGCTCCTGGCCCTCAGGCTTCCTGGGATTCTTCGGTCTCCACCTTCCATCTCATCCATAGGATGCTGGTCTAGACCTGCATTACTGCAGCCAGCTTTCGTGGATTCTGGGAATCCAAACTCCAGTCCCCATGCTTGTGTGGCAAGCCCTCTTCCCACTGAGCCTCTCCCCAGACCACAGTGTTTTCATTTCCATGAGGAAAAAAAAAAAAGGAGGAAAAGTAGTACCTGCGCCCGCTTATTTATAAAATGTTGAGTCTTTCAGAAAAAATAAAAACAACCCATACCATCTGGAGCCAGATGTACCATGTGCCTGCTGTGTCAGCCACTCGGGAGGCCTAGGCAGGAGGATGGGTAAGCTCTAGACCAGTGTGCCCAACCTGATGAGACCCTATCTGGAAATACCGTTTATTAAAAGGGTTGGGTGATGACCAACCCCAGTTCCCAGAATGTGGGAGGCGGAGAAAGGAGGATCAGGAATTCAAGGTCAACCTCAGCTACATCGTGAATTGGAGGTCAGTCTGAACTTTATAGTCAACCCCTGTGTGGAAGAAAGGGATGGAGAAATGTGGAGAAAATACTTTAGGAAATATTGAAAATTATTTCAGCAAATACTGCAAAAGGGAATAAAAAGGCAACATAAAAAAGGATGGTGTTATTAATTATTCTACTTCAACGTGGTTTTCCAAAAAGAAACATGAGGTCTGACTTGTAATCCTACAAGACTCAAAATCAGAAAAAAATTAATATTCCAATTCAGTGAGTCCTCTAGGTGTTTATAAAAATGACTTTTAGCTATGATTAAGCTCATGCCCTTAATCACAGCACTCAGGAGGCAGAAAGGCAAGCAGGTATCTGTGAGTTTGAGACCAGCCTGCTCTACAAAGCAAGTTCAAGGACAGCCAGAGTTACACAGGGAACCCTGTCTCAGGGAGGGGGAAAAAACAAGTTGAGTACAGGAATTGTGACCGCAGCCTTCTCGATTGCACACACTGATCGATGATATGGAAGACGATTATGACCGTATAATCAAACCCCCTTTCTTTTTCCTCCCATGCTAGGGATTTAACTTCCTTCTTGCAAGATTCTACCTCTGAGCTTTAGGAAGTTTAGGAAGGTCTCACAGACAGACTTTACTAGGCTGCCGTCAAACTCAACATTCCTGCCTCTGCCTCTGACCCTTGCCTCCACCGAACATCAGCTTCCGGTCTTGACATGACGGAAAGCTTCGGCCTCCATCAAACAAAGGAAACCTATTGTAAGGGCCCATGTTGCAGTAATGTAGGCCACGCTGACAGCGAAGAAAGCAGGGCCCTCATGTGAGCAGCCGCCTCGCCAGGCAGCTTGGGAGTCTCAGCAGCCATGGCCATTGAGCTTCCCCAAGCACATCCAATCAGTGACTCTGCCTCTACCCCAGGTGCTCAAGTGAAGCTCCCATCCTCCTGACTCATGGTCTGGTCTCCACCCCCTTCAGTATTCTCCCCACATCTACTTGTCTCGGCACACATTTGCTAAAGGAGAAGAAATCAATTCTTTATCTCTCCAATTTGGTTTTCTTAATGCTACATATGTACTTGGATAGGAGCCGGGCAGTGGTGGCGCACTCCTTGGATCCCAGCACTTGGGAGGCAGGCAGGATCTCTGTGAAATGAGGCCAGCCCGGTCTATAGAGTGAGTTCTAAGGCAGTCTACAAAGCCACAGAGAAACCCTGTCTCGGAAAAACCCAAAAATAAATAAATAAACAACCTAGAGTTAGCAGTACCTGTGCCCTGAGCATGTGTGCCCTGAGCATGTGTGCCTCTCACTTAGAAACCCCAGCTCAGTTCTCAGCACTTGGGAGGCCAAGGCAGGAGGAGTGACGTGGGCTTGAGGCCAGCTGGGTTACATAGTGAGTTTCAGGCCAGCATGGACTACAGAATGAGAGAACTTGTCTCTAAAAAAGAAAGATTAAATTTGTATTTCTAAAGACAGAAATACTATTACAGCCTCTTCATATATAGTTTAGCCCTTTGAAATAAGACATTTCTGAGTGCTCATGAAATGAGGGACGAATGATCCCAGACAGTCTCGTGTTTTGTCCATTATAAACCCAGAGCAGCTGCCAACTCATTGAAGTTGGGCCCTACCTGTATAGACTTAGAAATCCAGATTTGTGTCCCAGCCTGCAGCATCCTGGAAAACAGAGTAATTATGTCTACTAAATACAGCCTTTCCCTCCCTTAGAAGTTGTGCTGGTTAAACACTACTAGAGCCTTAATCTCCAGCTCTTTTTCTAGATCCCAGGAGCAATCCCCCAGGCTTATTTTGTCTGCTTTTATCAGTCACTGCTCTTTGTAATTTTAACAAACTTTCTCAATGTCTTCTAATCCCCAAGTTATAGAGTAATGTTTTAGCCGGCCACTTCTGGATGGCACAAAGGTTTTTGTCTTATCAGTGGATCGTCTCCAAAGTCCCCCTGTAACTAATGAATTACTTCTGGTGGGATTCCCAGCTAATCCAGTCATTTGTTTCTGCAGCAGCCTTCTGGGTGCCTCCCAAAACCTGAAGTAGTTCACTCTGCGAGCTGTTAGCACTGTGCTACCAATTAAAGTGCTTTTATTAATTTGTACTGTTTCCCTATAAAATTATAAGTATAATTAGTTTAAGTGAGCACATAATAATTATGGCAGTGTATGGTAATAAAGGGTAACCATTAAGTATGTCTCAGTAATGTTACATAGGTAAATAAATGAAAAGTAGTTTCATCTGAAAGAACCTATGTGAGTTGTGAATTTAAAATAAGAACTCTGCCAGGCAGTGATGGCCTGTGCCCTTAGTCCCAGCACTTGGGAGGCAGAGGCAGGTGGATCTCTTGAGTTTGAGGTCAGCCTGGTGTACAGACAGACTCAATGGACAGCCAGGACTACACAGAGAGACCCTATCCTGAGGGGGAGGGGGAGGGGACAGTGAAGGACTCTCCTTACTTAAAAGGTTAATTGTGTTAATAACTGGAGAGGGAATATCAAATTTAGTACACACAGCACCACTGTGTGGCTGGAGAACCAATAACTGTTAAGACGATAGAATAAAAGAGATACTAATGTTCAAACATCTAAAGGTAGAATTACCAAAATAAAGAATAGCTAATTGTATATCTGAATTATTGTGCCCATTTATCCATAGTCTGTTTAGGGTTAGAAAAGTCTTTAAAGGGTCAGACAGTGATTAATTTGCCTTTGTGAGCCCCATACAGTCTGTACCTCATTTGTTTGTTGTTATATTTCTTATAAAATATCTAATTCAGTGTCTAACCCATATACAAACAGTTGTTGATATTTGGTCCATGCTATATGAATCAAGCCATAATAATTGGTGGTGCACACCTTTAATCCCAGCACTCGGGAGGCAGAGGCAGGCCGATCTCTGTGAATTCGAGGCCAGCCTGGTCTACAGAGCGAGTTCCAGGACAGCCTCCAAAGACAATACAGAGAAACCCTGTCTCGAAAGACAAACAAAACAAAAAAAATCAGAAATCAGCCTTTCAACACCATTGTTGCTCACTTGGCATTAATTCACATGTTGGCAATAACAAATGAGACTTAGATACTAGGGTAGATGAGAGATCACATATTGTTTGAAGCCAGATCTCAGTTTATAGTCTAGGCTGACCTAGAATTTCTGCCTCAACCTCCTGAGTGCTAGAGTAAGAGTACACCACTATACCCCCAGCTACATACATATAAGGCTGTATATAATACACTTAAAACTAAGTTCCTTCTAATACTAGTTAGGATCAAATGTCAGCAATACACAGAAATTATTTTAAGATGTAATCTTTAAAGCTTGATTTGAATCCTAATAAAGTCCCAAGACAAATTATTTTCACCTTTAGAAACTAAAGGGTTTTTTTTTAAAGAAATATTAGATATCCAGAACTCCAATACCCAATCTTGTCCAATGTCAAAAGTTAGGTTTATATAGGGGCCAACTGCCAGATACTCTTATTAATACAGATCGAATTTAGATTAAAAGTTAACAGTAGAGATATGTTTGATCATTAAACCAGCCTTTATTGAGCATCATTTTCTGACTTCACAGAGAATGCACAGCTTGTTAACTAGATGATTCAAGTAAACAACTGTAATAACTTAGATAAGCAGAGAGGCTTGGGGCTGGGTGTGTAGTTCAGTTTAGTAGATCACTTGCCCAGCACTCATGAAGCCCTGGAACATTCCCAGCCCCTCATAAAACCAGGCATAGTGGCTGTGCCTGTGATCCTCGTACTGAGGAAGTAGAGACTTCATGGGATCACCACCTCAAGATCTTCACAGCTGATTCTCCATGCACCTTCTTGGGAGGCAGAGGTGGTCTGAGGTAGCACAGGCTGGCCTTGAAGTCACTATGTCATCCGCCTCCCAAGTGCTGGGCTACATCACCAATCCAACAACATATTGGAGCTAATTTGAGGCCCGCATGGGCTGTGTGAAAGCCTATCTCAACAGCAATGATAATGGATTATAAAGGCTTCCAGGTCTTTAAAAGAGTAGGGGTGACTCTGAACTGTGGCCTGAGGCAGGACAGCTACCAATTTGAGACCAGCTCATCTTAACACAAACTGTCTCAAAAAGACGGAGAGGGGACAGAGGGAAAGTGGGAAAGGTGCAGCACTTCCTTCGAGGTTTAAGTGTTTTACATGCAGCGTGCCATTTACTCAGCTAACAGCCCTCTGGGGCCGATTACTGTAACTATCAAGGCCCTTAGAGGAAACACGACTGGGTCTAAAGGGACTGCTCACATGCACATGAAAACCAAGTGAAAAAAACAGGACAGGAACTGTGCAGAGCCATAGCTGTCCCCAGGACGTGAAGCAGGTAAGGGATGATAGTCTTTCTGTGGAAACATTGATGTTCACAGACTTCAGCCACTGCCAAACCATAGCCAGACAAAAAAAGCAAGGAAATAAATGGCCAGCTTTGCCCTCTCTTCCGGGACCTGCAAACTCTCTCTGCTGCCTATTAATGAACCTAATCAGAAAGTAGCAGTCACAAGCAGTCACCTTTGCACACTGTGGGGTGGGAAAGGATGGAGGGCAGATCAGAAGGTGCCCAGAATGCCCTGCGTAGTTCCTTTCATCCCCTTCTCGTGTCGCATAATACCTGAGGGTCAGTTTGACCAGGTTTGCTAAGATAGTAAGTAGCCAGACATGGTGGTGAATGCCTTTGACCTCACCACTTGGGAGAAGCAGAGCAGGCAAATCTCTTGTACGTTTGAGGCCAACCTGATCTACATAGTGAGTGCCAGCCTACCCAGAGCTATGTAGTGAGACCCTGTCTCAAAAACAAAACCAAGAGTAAGGGACAAGAGCCTATGATAAACTACTGTGCTAAACTCTGCTCAAAGCAACAGCATAGAGAGGATGGTCCAAGTACCTACTGCAGACACCAGGATGGCCTTAAACTCACTGTGTAGCCCAGGCTGGCCCTAACTCACAGCAGTTCTCCTACCTTGTCCATCCAAGTGCTCAGATGACAGGAGGTCATCAGCATGCAGACAAAAGATGGAAGCGAAAGACAGGAGAATCCATAAAAGCCTTGGGGTAGAGAGCCTTCCTTAAGCCCCAGCGACAAATAAGAGATCCCACTTCAAATTAAAGTGGAAAAGAGGAGACCAATGCCCAAGGTTGTCCACAGACCTCCACACATGCCCATACACCAAACAATATAGATAGGGTTATATGTATATAACATACGTAGCATATCTTATTATATGTGTGTAAGTTTTTTATGTGAATTGAGCTGGAGACATGGCTGAGCACAAGAACCAAGACTGGGTCCCATTACCCAAGTCAGGTGGTTCACAGCCATCTGTAATTCCAGCTCCAGGGAATCCTACACCTCTGACCTCCACAAGCAAGTACACTTGTGTGCACATATCCACATAGATGCACATACATAAACTGGAAAATAATAAAAATCTTTTCAAATGTGAATTGACTTATATCTATCAAAACAATACTAGGCCAGAATAAATTAGCTGGTAAGTTCTACCAAACCTTTAAGGATGAAGTTATACCAATTCTCCATAATTTCTTTCAAACGTTAAAATCAATTCCCAGTGTGGGAGTTGATAGAATGATAGATAGAGTGTTTGCCTAGTGTGCAGGAAGCCCTGGGTTCCAGCCCCAGTATCACACAAACCAGGTATGGGAGGGTCAGCCACAGTCTCAGCAATTGGGAAGTGGAGACACAGAAGTTCAAGCCCCAGAAGTTGTCTGGGGCTGTTCGTTAGTTTAAAGCCAATTTGGGGTATAGGAGATCTTGGAGAAGGAAGAAGTGGGGGGGGAGGGGGAGCGGTTAAGATTGGTTTACAAAGCCAATCTTAATAATGGTTGATACCAAAAACATTATTAGAAAATATGTAAAGTTTTTATGGGCAGTGAAACTATTGTGTATAATACTGTAATGACATATACATACCTTTAGATGTTTGCCCAAAGCCAGAGAATTTGCTATAGTAGTGTCAGTTCTGCATTCTAACAGATGCGCCACTGTGGTGAAGGATATGGATACTGGAGAGGAGGTAGCTCAGTGGGGAGAGTGCTTGCCTAGCATTCAGGAAGTCCTAGGTTTGAGCCCCAGCATTGGGCAAACAGGGCATGGTGGTGCATGTGCATAATCTGAACACTTAAGAGATGGAGGAAGCTTAGTGTTATCTGCGGCTGCAGTTCAGACTATCATGAGCTGCACAGGGGCTATATCTGTGTACTAAAAGCTGTCCTAAACAAAGTCTACACAACTGAAGTCAGATACGAAGGACTGACATGTGTTCCCACTTATCCCAGCACTCAGGAAATAGATGCAACACCCTGAGTTCAGGATCATCCTTGGCTACATAATGAGTTCAAGGCCATCGAGGGCCTTGGTGTATCCTGACCATCACTCTCCCCTGAATAGACTAGTAGCTTTCCTGTTGAGGCAGGAACTTATACAAGGCCTGTGGACTCCTTACCAGTCCAGCCCCATGTGCACTCAGAACTCAGCAATCTCAATAAAGATCACCTCCCTCTCCATCCAATTCCAGGACCATTAGAGGAGGAAAGGGCTACACAGGGACAGTCCTCCCTTGGGAGTGCCCTTCCTCACTATCCTGGGTTCAGCTTGTGCTTGAGACAGGGGGCTGGGGAGCCAGTGGCTGGGGTGGCTTTAGTGGCCATAAATTGCCTGGGGCCCGACTACCCCAAGGTAAAAGCATGAAAGGATGCCACATCATCCAAGTCGTTTCTTACCAAGGACTCAGCAAACCCCAACCTGAAAGTACTGTGACAGATTTTTGATAGTTACGTGAGTGGAAGAGACGTGGTTTGTCTAGCTCACACAAAATGCCCAGATGTAGGTATGTCGTTCTCGGCACCACCTCCTTGTAAGCATTGATTTTAATGCACTCCTGTTTTTCTTTTCAGACTAAAAAGGATGCACAGGAATGGTCCAAGAATCAAAAAATGAAGGCGTAGTGTTTGGTGCTGGAGAAAGCCAGAGTCTAAACCTAAGCCACCAAGCCCCTCCCTTCACATGGCACTCCCAGCTAGCCCCCCCACAAGGCACCCTCAGCCAGGGTCGCTGTTCTGTGTTGGAATGGGTCTTGTGTCATCTGTACTCCAGAAGTGCTACCTCTGTTGGGGGAGAAAACGTTCATTTCAATCATGTACTTGACATTTTCAAATATAATTAACTTAATGTGTATTCTAACTAATGTTAAATTAACAAGTTTCAGTATAATCAGCATATAAAGTACAAATGTCATATGCTTTATATTTTGGTTTTATGTATTTTGTTATAAAATAAAATATCTTCTATCCTCTGACTAGATTATAGAGTTTTCATAAATAGAAATTCTTCTTAGGCTAAACTTCCTGAACTACATAAATTCTGAGATCACATAATACAAATACCAAAATACGTGACATTCTGACAGGACACTAAATGTCTAACACTAAGAACCATTTGTAGTCATGTGATGGTGGCACATGCCTTTAATCCTAACACTCAAGGCAGAGGCAGATGAATTTCTGTGAGTTTGAGGCCAGCCTGTCTACAGAGTGAGTTCCAGGACAGGCTCCAAAACTACGCAAACAGACCCTGTCTCAAAAAACAAAAACAAACAAAAAAATCACTTACGGAGCCATGAAAATGACTCAGTGGGTACCACAAACCATGCTAGAAACCCAGACAAAAGCCAACTCCCAGAATATCCTCTGTTCTTCATGTGCACCATGGTTCACATATACCAGCATACATACAAACAACACTACATACAACAACACACTGAAGTGTTTAACTGATAAACCATAGTTGTTCTTTTGTGGGGAGGGGTTGCCATTTGTTTGTATTTGAGAGGGCCTCACTGTGTATCTTTAGCTGTTCTGGAACTTACTGTGTAGACCAGGCTAGCCTCGAACTCACTGAGCTCCAGTGCTGATATTGAAGGTGTGTGCTATCATCACAGCACCGAGCTCTTAAAAAAGAAAGCATGTATTAAAGAATATTTTGTAAAGTCCACAATAGGGTATTCCTGACAAACTACAGAGGTGCACAAATACCATGTGGGTACTTTGGGTTCACTTTGTGGTGTTCATGTTTTGTTTTGTTTTTTATTTTTCACAGTCGCATTAGCCAGGAAAGTCTGGCAGAAAGTCCGCTGTCTGTTGGTGAAGTCTTAACAATGTTAGTCATGGTCCGGTGTCAGCCACACATCTGTTCAGTGGGAAAGGGAGCATTTGTTCTGTCTTATCATACGTCTTCCCATAGGTGTGTGGGCATGCCTAAAATCCCAGCAAGGGTGGTTAAAAGCAGAGGGCTGGGGTTGTATGTAGGTAGCTGGGTGGCAGAGTGAGGCTCAGCCTGCCACAAGTGTTGAGCTCCAGCACCACACAGGAGGGCTGGCAGCAGTAAAAGAAGAGAGTGGGCCCCAACCTAGGGAGTTGAGCTTGTTAGACAAGTGTTCAGCACCATTACATCCCCAACCTACAATGTACAGTTTTGGACTTAAGGCAAGATTACAACAAAATAAACACACACATACACACACACACACACACACACCCGGCGGTCAGGTGCTGGACATTGAACACAAGACCTTGTGCATGCTAGACAGGCATTCCACTGAATTACTTCCCTAGCTTTAGAGGATGGACCTTAATCGGCTTTACTTTTTACAGTAGAGATGGACCGCTTTATTCTATCAAGTAGAGTCACTGTTGGATCAACTAAACAGAAAAGGTTGGCTTAAGAGACAGGAAGACTGAAGGAAGCAGAAATGAAAATCAAACTGAGTGATGATGATACATTCCTGTCATCCCAACGTCTAGGGGGCAGGAGGCCTCCATCTTGGGCTACAAAGACCTTGTCTCAAGAAAACAAAACACTTAAACTAGCATAAAGACAGATTGGTCTTATTTCCAGGTTAATTAGGGGTTACATCTCGGCCACATAGCATGGTGCTCTGCTGGTGCCCCAGCACCAAAACAGCCAGATGCTTAACTTCAGTTACCTTTTTGTGTCTTGTAAAGATTAAAGCAGAGAGAACAGAAAGCAAAATGTGCGTGTTGGAAATGTTATTACCGCTCCAATTTCCTGCAAGGTCAAATAACAACACAATTTCAGATTGGATAGACAGGACGTTAGTATGATACATGTAAACTAGCATTTGTCAGCATCAAGGGAATAGTGTGTGTGTGTGTGCGCACGCGCACGCACGCGCGTGAGAGAGAGAGAGAGAGAGAGAGAGAGAGAGAGAGAGAGAGAGAGAGAGGCCTCAACCCGGAGGCTGTCTTGGAATTTCTGACCCTCCTTTCTCTCTATTCCTGAGTGCTTTCAAGTGTGTCCACCACAGCTGGTCTATGCAGACTTGGGGAGGGCACAGGGGCCTTCATTCACACTGGGGAAGCAGTTCACAGCTAAGTCACATCCCCATGCACTGTTTTTGCTTGTTTGTTTTGTTTTGTTTTAGATCCAAGTAAAGAAACTTGATCTAAAATGACTTCCTACCTCTTGGATAGTGTCATGATCTGTGACTTCCTAATCCCCCCATCCTCCTGTTCTGGTAAATAAAGGATCTCTCTGTGAAAAAAAAAGTGTTTGGATGTGGTTTGTGCAAGGGTAGGGGTTGGGGGCTCCAGGAGGAAGCCTCTGCTGTGTGGTGATGGGGACCCAGGAGGAAGCCCCCATGTGTGGCAGTGATGGGACCTCCTTCAAAGGAACACTCAGAAAGAACAGCACTCTCAAGAGCATGGCTGTATGCTTCTCCAGGAGAGATCCAGCACTATTAATCTCATTTTTTAATCTAAAAAATCAGAGCAAGTTAATGGCCCAAGATCCAAAGGTGGAATTGAGGTTCAGTGAGTAAAGGCGCTTGCTGCAAAGTCTGATGCCCTGAGTTTGATCCCCGGAGCCCGAATGGGAGAAGGAGAAACCCCCACAGGTTGTGCTATGGTATATGCACGCACAAATGATAGATAAGTAAATAATTGTGAAAGCATAAAAGACAGAAAAATAGAACGGGGTTTGATCTGAGTGTAGGTCTGTGGCCATGCTGCTCTGGTGCAGTGCACTGCTCCCATAAACTGTCCCTCCCTCCCAGTGCACTGCACTGCTCCCACACACTGTCCCTTCCAGTGCACTGCACTGCTCCCACACACTGTCCCTTCCAGTGCACTGCGCTGCTCCCATACGCTGTCCCTTCCTGGCCTCCCACTCTCAGTGGGCTGGAAACAATGTGAAGGAAGGTCCTGGTGTTCCATGAGTCTTATTTTTTTGGTTGTGTACTTTTTAAAAATGATTTAACTTTATTTTATGTGCATTAGTATGAAGGTGTCAGATCCCCTGGAGCCAGAGTTACACTTTTAATCTGCCATGTGGGTGCTGGGATTTGAACCCAGGTCTTCTGGATGAGCAGTCAGTTCTGTTAACTGCTGAGTCATCTCTCCAGCCTCCTAGTTGTTTACTCTTCAAGACAGGTCTCACTCTAACCCAGGCTGGCCTCCACCTTGTGACCCTCCTGCATTGGGCTAGGATGATACAGGCTTGAGCATCGGTCCAGATGTTGTCGAACTTGTGATCTTCCTATCTCACTCTCCAGAGTGCTAGGATTGTAGATATACACCACCAAACCCAGCTCAAATACATTTTGATGAGCTTTGAGGGGGATGGGTACATCCGGGACCAGGCACAGTTAGTGTATTAGTTCAAGACAAATTCATGGGTAGCAAGCAGATTCCTGTTCTACAGATTTGAATGCTGAGCTGCAGTTGGGGAAGATCTAGTTCTACAGACTTATAGTGTGGTTGGGTGTCTGCCCAGCATGCATGAAGCGTTGGCTCCTATCCCCAGCACCACATAAACCAGGTATGGTACCGGTTGGTAAGGCAAGTGATTGGGAGGTGGGTCAGGGTGATCAATTTAAAGTCAGCCATGGCTACATTAGTTCCAGGCCACTCTGGGCTACATAGGCACTCTGAGACCAGACTGGTCTACATGAGAAAAAAAAAATTGAACATTGCAGTGACAAAATGTCTGTTCTAAAGAAACTATTACTCCTGGGCCATGGTGGCGCACACCTTTAATCCCAGCACTCGGGAGGCAGAGGCAGTCGGATCTCTGTGAGTTGGAGGCCAGCCTGGTTTACAGAGCGAGCACCAGGATAGGCTCTAAAGCTACAGCGAAACTCTGTCTCGAAAAACAAACAAGCAAACAAAAACCCATGACTCTTGTGATGGCTCTTCTAGGTTAATAGGATGCAGTCAGCTCCTGTACACCAGTCAACTCGTAACAGGAACTCTGTAAGGTATATTCAAATATAAATTAGCTTTACCCTTTTCTTAAAACACTCTGAAAAATTACCCCACAAACCTTGTGCATGGTAAATGCCTATATGCCCAACTACTGGGAGGCTGAGAAATGATAGTCTTTGAGCTAACTAGTTAAAGATGTACCTGGCCAGCATAGCAAGACCCCCACCTCGAAAAACAAAGAACAGAGATAACTCAAACCAAGGAGTTTGCTCTTAATCATTTCCAAGATGGCAATTTCTTAAAAGAAGAACTATCATGTAGTGACAGAAAAATGTTGTAAATTCAGTGTATATATTGGTTAGGGATTTGGTTCTGCTTGTTTGTTTGGGGGGTGTTGTTTGTTTTTTATTTTAAAAAATTAGTTTTCATTTTACATACCAACCCCAGTTCCCCCTCCCTCCCCTTCTCCTGCCTCCCTCATATCCCCTCCTTCCCAACCCCCATCCACTCCTCATAGAGGGTAAGGCCTTCCTTGGGGAGTCAACAAAGTCCCACTACCTAATTGAGGCAGGACCAAGCCCCTCCCCTCTGTATCAAGACTGAGCAAGGTATCCTTACCTTAGGGAATGGGCTCCAAAAAGCCAGCTCATGAACCTGGGGTTGATCCTGGTGCCATTGCCAGGGGCCCATTTAAAGGTTATGTATTTATTTATTCATTTTATGTGCATAGGTATTTTATCTGCATGTCTGTGTGTCACCTATTTGCCTGGACAAGAGAGGTCATTTGGAGTCCCTGAAACTGGAGTTGCAGACAGCTGTAAGCTGCCACGTGGGTGCTGGGAATCAAACCCGGGTCCTCTGGAAGAGCAGCTAGTGCTCTTAACCATTGAGCCATCTCTCCAGCCCCTGGTTAATTTTTATTTTCACCTTGACACTAACTAAAGTCGTCTGGGAAGAGGCTATATCAGTTGGACCCCGTTAGACGGGACTATGGGCATGTGTGTCTGTGGGGAATCATCTTAATTGATGATTGATGGATGGGGGGAGGGCCTAGCCTGTGAAGGAGGCACCAACC